CGCCCGCGGGCCCCCCGGCTCTGGCTGAGAGTGCGGGAGGGGGCTGTTGGTCTCCTAGTCCAGAGAAGGGGGGCCCCGCATCAGCACCTGCAACAAGAACACACGTCAGCCTGGCCTGGCCTGGCCACCCTCCGGCATGAGCAGGAGGGTGCTGCTGAGAGCATTGCTCCCCACTCATCTACTCCTGTCCGTGGGGGGAAGTGCCAGCAAGCAGGCAGGAAGGGAAGCACCCTGCCCCCTCCCCCAGGAAGCTGGGCATCTCTTGGTGCAATGGCTCAGAGCACACTCCTACCCCTGCCAGGGCTCTGGGCACTGGCACAGGCAGGGATGTGTGCAGCCAGCTGGGGGGACAACCACCAGTGAAGCTCACAGGCTCCTGCTTTTCTCGGGAAGAACAGACCCCTTCAAGGGGAATTTGCTGCCTCAGGACAGCTCAGGACCACAAGGGGAGAGCTAGGAAAGGGCAGCCCTGACCCAGCCAGGCAGGCACAGAAAGCATCTTCCCACCTGCAGACTTGCTCTCCGAGAGCTCCAGCATCCTGAGGAGTCCCTTCTCCTGCTTTCCAGCGTCCTGCCAAGGAGAGGAGAATCACTGTTACAGCGCTGCTGAGAGGGAACCCCATAGCTGGGGTGACCCCGTGGCTGCACATTCCCCCAGCCCATGGGGCCAGGCTGGGCACATGTGGTAGGGCTGCATTTCCAGGGCCTCCAGCTGAGCATGGCCAGCCACCAACAGGAAGGGCACTGCCCCATGCCCAGCCTGACCAGTGCCCGAGCAGAGGCAGCTGAGAGCGGTTGATAAAGCAGAGCCCAGTAGGAAGGGAGACCAGGGTGCAGGAAGCCACCTGCAAGCCCAGCCAGAGAAATCTGGGCACCAGGGGCTCTGCCACGGCTTGGGCCGCATACCCCAGCACCGTGCATCCGAGGGCACAGGGGCTTGGTGCTGGAGGGAAGGGCCTTCCTCCAGGGCACAGCCAGACAAGGACCGCACATCTTGTGCCCCCTCTCAGCCCCTGGGAAGATGCAGCCACACTGTCACACAGGCTAAGGGAACAGCACTTGGCCTGGCTGCTTTGAGCCTTGCTGGCCAAGCAAAGTCCCCTTTCCTGGGTGCTCCCTGGCCCCAGAACGGCTCTAGAAGGCACTGGCATGCCGGCTGTGGGGCTGGAGCTGCAAAGCACCCCAAAATGGGCTGTGGCAGGAACCCGCAAGCCCAACAGTGCCACAGGGAAGCTTTCCAATGGCCCAGCCCATGCCCAGGCATGACCTGCTCCCCCCAGTGAGCTTCCACCTCAGCACAAGGCAGGGCCAGAGGAAACACAGAGCCTTGATGAGCCATCCCAAAAGGGCTGTCTGGCTCCAGCACCTTTCCCCCATGCCCTGTGCCCATGCCTGCATGCAGGACCCCGCACGCCAGCCAGCTGTAGGGCACAGGGACAGAGTCAAACAGCCCCCACGGAGCTGGTCACATGCAGGAGCAGCCGTGCCCTGCAGTACTCTGAACCACACAGTGCTTGGCTGTATCCCAGCCAAAATCATCAACCAGAAATCTCATCATTTGCATCTGAATCCCCAAAGGGCTGAGGCCTGTGATGGATTTAAGGGATTATATGAAACTAAGACATCATGTTGCAACTTCATGCTGAGAATCACATTTCTGAGCGCAGGCAAAGATGCAGCACTAGGGCTTTGCCTGCAGGAACCAGCAGGAAGGCCCGGAAGGACCCTCTCTGTGCTCCCCGGGACCACCATGAGCAGGAAAAAGCACAGTGGGGGCCAACACCTGGCGAGTGACTGAGAGCCAGCTGCTACCCACGCTCCTGCCTCCCACCTCCCCTAGCGAGGCATGTCCCTCACACCCGGCACACCTCCACCACACTTGCTCCCCCACATTTCTCCCGGGATACTGCAGTTTGCTCCTGGCACGGAGTGGTTCTCCCTGCTCTGGCTCTGAAGCCTTCCCCATGGGAAAGGGCATGCGGATAGAGTCAGATACGCTTGTCACCCTGACGCTGCCCTCAACTCCATCTATATTCAGCCGGGGAAGCCTGCAGGACTGAGGCACACTGTCTGGCAGGGGGACAGCCCTAGCTGCCTGCCTGCTGGGGAGGTTATTGGCAGCTCCACTGGATTAGCTCACCCCTGGGACTGGTCCATGCTCTCACTGAGCGTTGTGGGAAGGAGAGCAACAGGTTTTCTGGCCATGGCAGCCCACAGGGACAGGCAATCCTACACCAAGTCAGCTCATCCCATCAACGAGGGAAACTGCTCCTGCTGACAACCGAGCCCCAAACCCAGCACAAAGCAAAGGAGACGGTCTGCAGGGTCGCCCCTCACCTTGGCGCTTCGCAGCCTCCTGGTTCCCTGAGCTTGCCTAGCAGCCTGAAGGCAGCTGTCCACGTGCCTCTGATACTGCAGCAGTGGCACCAGTGACTTACAGAGGTAGCACTTCTCACACCTGCCAGGCAGCAAAGGACAGAGCACTGCATTAGGATTTGCCCTGCACCAGGCTCCCAGCCACCAGTGGTGGCTTTCCTCCTGCAGGCCATGCCACGGAGAAGACATGTCACCACACCGGGTCTTGCTCAGTGGGGTCAGGCCGGCACCAATCTCAAAGACTGAGTGATTATCAGTTTTCCCTGCCTGTTCCTCTGTATCCTGCTGCTGCAGCAGCGGGACGGTAATCAAATCTGCTCATCTAACTATCTCAAACACCGCTGATTTCTCCCCAGACATAAAGCACCCTGTCAAAATCCACAGAAATGAAGTGCGAGGGTTTTGCAAAGGGGAGTTAAATTCTGCCTGAAAAGCAAACCAAGTGTGTTAAATCAGAGAGACATTTTACCAGGGCTGGATGAACTTGTCTGACTAGTAAATCAAGTCTTTCCCTGCACTGTCTCCATTTTACATCATGCCATGTTGGAACAGGAATGCAGAGCACACGCTCCTGCTGGGGGGCTGGCACAGCGTGTTCCTCAAACCCCCCCATTTGTGTAGAAGATGCCCAAGCTCACACAGGATGACTGCGTGTGCTTGGGAAGAAAATTATCCTGGGTGAAAGGAGATGAAGGTCAGGTGTGGATTTACACAGCTATACTCGCTTCCACACCAGCTCTTCGTGGGGACCAAACCATGCAGAAGAGGGCAGTGGTTCTTCAGGAGGGGAGCATCCACCCGGAGAGCTATTCAGGAAGAGACCATCTCCAAGGAGAGACAAGCCCCCAGGGACCAGCCCCAGCAGCATTGTGTTCAGTCTGATAAGTAGTACTCTGCTAGTAAAACTCACCCCAGGCTCTAAAATGCGTATGGAGAGCCCCCATCGAGCAAAACTCTGCAGTACTTTTCCCGTATTTTCTTTCCAGTCAGTGCTGATTACCCAGATAATGTGTCTAAACAGAAGCTGTCCTCTCTATAATTAGCCTAATTCCATTAGTGATGTTGCCATCCACTGTTTGTAACAGCAAAATTGCTTCCATAGCAGGGATTTTACTGTCAGATCCTCTCTTATGATGCTTTGTGTGGGTGGCAGGAGGAGGGGCTGCATGGGAAGAGATTAAACAAAGCCACTGCTATTCTGAAAGTCTAATTTAATTAAGAATATCACTACAGGTGCCATGTTGACAGCCTCCCTGTCCTAGCCTCTTCTTTTCCCGGGGTTACCAAGCTCAAATCTCCCATTAGGAACTGGCTGAGTTAGCACCATTTTAGCTACAGCTCCTCCCACAGCGGCCAGAGACCACAGATCCCTGACCCACCATGGATTGGGCTGAAAGGAAATTAGTGCAAAAATAAACAATCTGAGAGCAGCAAATTCCTCTTGCTTCGGTATAAAAATAGCCAGCACTGCAACAAGAGGCACTGAGAGAAGGCAATTTCTTAGGGAAACATTGCTATAAGGCCAACAGCCGGCATTTATACAGGAATAAAGACATCCACAGGCAAGCTAAAATTGAAGCCCAGAAACAATCTTAGAGGAGCAAGCATACCTACTTACTTGTCAATGTCTAAGGATGTTGGGCCACTTTCACCACCGGCAGCTTTATTTCTTGCCTCTCTCTGACGTCGAGTAAGCACTGGAGGAAAAAACAAAGGGTTACCTGCCATCCACCCCAAAAGCATCCCTACACCATGCCCGAATGCAACATGTTTCAATCTCTTCCAGTCAAGGCTGCAGCAGAAGTGATGGTCAAAGAAATACTAGACTGGCAGGGTCTTCTTTCCTGCAGAAGAGGTAGCTGGCCAATTCTCCTTTTTTCTGAGGGGATACTGAAGAAGTTACCTTCCCTGGACTTGGAAGCCAGCTAGTCATTTCACACTGTCTTCTGCCAGAAACAGCTGGATCAACAGTAGGCAGTTTACAGTAATTTTAAAGCTGATGCGCAGCAGTGCAACAGCCTGGAAGAAGAGTTACACAGCTGCTCCAGCAGCACAGCACCGCTCCCTGCCAAACTAAGCACCTGTGTCTACTGCAGGGGAGGGAGCATGATAACCACGAGCTCAGGGGGAAGGAGAGCCAAGGCAGGGGCTGTGCGGGGGCACCAGCCCTTCTGCAGATGCAGTAGGAAGAGCAAAGCTTGCTGGGGAGGGATACAGATCATGCTGGAAAGGGAAGGTTACAACAATTAGCCTACACTCACTGCTCTTTCCACCGCCCATGTGACCCGGTGGTGATCTGTACTACTGTCCACATACAGCTCTGTGGGGCCTCTGGATGAAGATCTCTACCAGGGCTTAAGCATCAGTGGTGCTGCTCTCCAGCGGCAGCAGGGAAGGGCCAGTTCTGACACATGTGGGTAGCTAGCAAGATCCCAGCTGACCAGCATGCTGATGATGGGTCCAACAATTTCTGTTCCTTCAGGAAGCCTGAGCAGCCTTTCCAGACCTGCTCTCCAGGCATCTGCAAGGAACACATTGGAACGTTGTCTCTTTCAGTCAAATTCCACTCAGTGTATTCCTGTTGACATGCCACCAGCAAAGATCCTCAGGGAACGCATCAGATAGCTTAGCTTGCTTCACCAGGGACGTTCAAGACTCCAACTCCAAAACAGATGTCACAGTAAGCACTCTCAGGCAAGCCAGCTAAGGGGACAATGCAAGGAGCTGTTTTGCAGCCCGGTATCATTGCTTCTCATACTCTCTTTAAAAGAAAGGCCTGAATCCAAGGTACAGGCATGACAAACCTGTTATTGTTGGCACATCATCTACTAATAAAGGAAGGGATGCACAAAATTTTGCGCAGAACAAAGGGAAACCTTCAGAGTTTTAGCAAAACCCCATTTCCAGAGTGTTAGGCAATCCCAATATCTATCCACAACGCTGATAACAACACAGCCTTTCCTTTAGTAGCAATCACTGATCCACAGCCATGACCAGCAACTGCACTGCAAGATGCTCAGGAGCTGTTGGGGCTGACAGGAGACATCCACGCTGAAGAAACAAGCTCAAGGGTTTCCTAGGACGTGGCTACTGTCTTGTAGGCAATGACTGATACCAGCAGCTCATTTCTCACAGGCACCAAAGCAGGCGCCTCTCCTTAACTTAGTCTGTCCCAGATTCGACATGGCAGCCTGACAAGGAAGACTGATAACCACGGCCACCCCCCAGGTCATCCAGCCTCCCAACAAACCAACTAACAAGTGCATTTGACAGCGTGGTGAAAGCTGCTCTCCAAATCAGCGTGCACTCGTTAATATTCCTTTAACACCGTCTCGGGAGCCTCGTGCACCAGCTCAGGTGTTAATCAGTTCTATTTTCTTCCAAAAGCAGTGAACACATCTGGCATAATGGGCCCATTAGAGATGTCTGGGACCAGCTCTGCAGCTGCCCAGGAGAAGACCCCCAGCTGCGCTGCTGGAAGCAGAGGCACAGGAGAGAGAACAGGGCCAGCTGCCAAGGCACAACCCCTGCCAAAACATGCTGGCCGCCCACAGGAAAGGGGTTCAGAACATGGGAAGACACTTGTTGTGGGGAAAATCCCCACCACAGAGCAGTGCTGACCACTGTGTGACAGGAGCCTTCTAACTCTCCCAGATACGATGCTCTTCGCTGGATCAGACACACTCTAGCCCGAGAACAACCTTTTTCCTGGCTTGGCATTTCTTCTGGTTGAGAAGTCATCCTTGGCCTGCTTGGCTCCAGCTTGCACCCTGGGGAAGAGGAGCAAACCCTCACCAGCACAGCCCCACTGTCAGCACACCCACCCCAGGCACCTCCTGGGGCTTCCAGGTCAGGTTGGCATGCAGAGCTGTGAGGCCACAGTCACCAAGCTCCTCGCTTCACTGCACAACCCACCTGTGGTTAGATCCACTAGCTTCCTCCCCGTTTTCACTATCAGCCATACCACTTTTTGTGCAGGATCCTATTAGTGGCAGGCTCGCCAGCATCTTGTCCTTTCTCAGAAGCAATGAAGCTTTCCCCTGCACCCATTCTGTTACTCTTTCCGCTGTATCAGTGCCACTTCTATTGATGTCAAGAGCTTTTTAACAGCACCAGTGCTGCTGCTGAAGGCTGACAGCTGCATCAGGTTGCATTTGAGGCTTTGGGAGGAAGGGATATACCAAATCCTCCTTTCCTGGGCTCACCTGGGAACTGAGAGGTTGGGAGGATGTAGATGGAGGGCAAGATGAATAGAGTATGTCCCAAAGTTCAAAACTATTTGCTGCACTCGGCAGCGGCCAAGACTATCTTCCAGACTGACACCAGCGGATTCCTGCGTTGGCAGCAGCAGTGGGCGATGGATATGGTGACTCCAGCAGAAAGCCACTCTCACACAAGTGAGCCCTTCAGCTGAGTGCATGAAGGAAGAGGGGGCTGGCAGAGCACTTCCATGGCTCCACTGATTCACTTGGAATTAACACCAGCCACTGAGCTGGAAACTCAGGACCTGAACCTTCCCCATTCTGGTACAGTGGCTAATGCAACAGCAGGCTCTTCTTTTTTTATTTAATCAGACAGGAAAATGGAAATTCATGATCAGATTTTCATACCGCCCAGGTATGTGGTGGTCTGGGCATCCAGCCAGAGCAACCATGTACATACGTAGACGAAGCAACTGTAACTCATCCTGCCCAGCTAACTCATTTGAAAACCTGTCCTTAAATATCAGCCAGACTGAGCTGGCCTCCTGATACATAACACCAAAAGGCTTTGGTGCATGATTAGAAGACGGAAGAGGAGAAGTAAAACCAGCAAGAACCCATCCTTTTGTAATTTTAAAACAAAAAGCACTGACAGCTATAGTCTGCAGGACTGCATAATCTGCAATTCTAGAGACATCAGGAGTAAATCCAATTAATAAGTCTGAATAAAGACCAGGAACCCCTGACCCAGTGCACCAAAGGAAACTGAAGCTGACTTTTCTTAACAGATCAGGACATGGCTTAGAAGCGGAACTTTGGTTTGATCACACAAGGCTGTTGCTGTGCTCTCGAGGAAGCCAGCAGCCAGCCAAGAGCACAAAGTGCTGCAGCAGTAGAGAACAGCTTCTGGACCTGCACAGGAGCTGGCATTTACTTCAGAAGACAATTCTCTCACCTCTTTTTTCTCCCCATGCATTAGCTTTACCTATGGATTTTGTGCTAGTGATGGATGCCAAGGTAACAGCCCTGGAAACAGAGTCCTTTTGTACCTGCACAGCTGTGTCAGGCTACTGTCTGGCGTCTCCTCAGAGCTAAACATCATCCCTGCCTGTTCAACCCAAACCTCATTGACCAGTCCAACAGCTGAGACCGCTCTGGGTGGCTGTTGCCTTGGTACAGCCGCTGGGAAGAGGACTGAAGTGCCCTGCAAGCCAGAGCCCCAGTTGGCCCGCAGGATTCTGCCCCACGTACATGCTGCTCCAAGTCCAGGATGTCCGCAGTCCTGCAGAGAATCTTGGTGCAAACAACACAGGCATCCCAGACTGTTATAGCTAATAAAGCCTGGTCTCTACGGGGAAAATACTAGAATAACTGGCAATAGAAAATCCGAATTACTGTGATTTTGTCCCAAAACCATTGCTCTGCTTAGAGCCATTATTGTAGACCAAAATCCCTTTTATTCCAGACCAGTTTTCTTACAGAGGGATTGTTCTAAACAAGCCAGAACAGCAGAGTAGCAATTCCAAAATAACTACCCTTACAAACATCCCCAAGGAGACCAGTCTGGAAGCAGAGTGGAGAGGCCAGCCTTGAACTCTGTCCTGAAGCCAACACCAAAGGAAAGAACAAATTCCCTCACACTGCCAAAGAATTCAAAGCCTTTTCCTGATCACAGTCAGGATTCCCCAGGATCAATGGATATACCCCACGCCCAGCCACCCCAGGGACCCGATTACCACAGGGCCAAAGACATTCCTGCTAAAAGGCATACTGAAATTTCTGCTCCATTTTGTAGCATGGATAAGACCTTTGTCAGTGTTGAGGATGGCAGAGGAACTGTGATAATTTGTCATTTGCCTGAGCCAAATGCTTTGCATTAGTAGCTGGTTTGTGCCTGCAGAGAGAACTCCCCACCAAAATTCAGCACCAAGCAGTATCAGCCACTACTCTGGCTCCTGTTATCTTGACAGGACCCATGTCACATCCCCAAAGATTTAGTATACAGAAACCTTTTATGTTAAAACTACATCAACTCTGCATTAAGATTACATGGTGAAACTTCCTCCTGCTAGAGGAACGCAGAGTTGTACTGGCTCCAATTTGCTCAAATTGCTTAAACACCATAGATTTAGGTTGCATTTAATAACCCAGTATGTAACTGAAAATTATATATTCACAACCTGAAAAGTTAATCTTATTACAAGCTAGTACTTTGATATTACCTGACATTGTGCTAACACAGACTTTACATTTCAAGCAGCAGCTAAAACATAACTTATTGAATATGTTGATAACCAACCGGTGTATTTGTTCACTTAAGCTCTACAAAGGTTGGCTACAGAAAACTGATAGGGAGAAGACTGCAAAGAGGATTAATACGGGCATTCTGACCGTGCTTCTATGCCTCACTCTTCACATGAAGGAGAAAAATCCAAGCTCCCAGATCGATAGCTATCATTTTGCAATTTTAGAGGAACAAGAGGGAAACTTTTCTGCAATCTCTTGCAGCTGAACAAGCCATTTTTGCACATACAAATGTCAGACTCGTTGCAGAGCACCGGCCGTGCCTGGAGTGGTACAGAACATTCTCCCTTCTCGAGAGCCCTGAAGGATGCGTGGGGCTGGGCCCCCTGCCATTTTCTACCACTGGCAGATGCTCTGCAGGTCCTCATAAAACACACAATAGATGCGTCTTACGAGTACTGCTTGAAGCATCTAGGGCTAGATCATGGGGTAATATTCAGCTTTTACACTTTCCAAGGGACTAATAATGTGCTGAATTATGAAGTTGATCAGAGAAAAGATGTCTCTGTGCAGGATGTGCTGGAAGCACAGGAGCCTCCAATACCACTCCCCTGGCTGGCTCGGGGATGGAACAAGGCAGAGCAAACAAACCTCCCTACGTGCCATACCATGCACCAAATATCCCAAAAGGGACAAGATTGCAGCACCTGGCTGCAAGTAACAGGAAAGGGGGATGAGCACAAAGAGCAAACACACAAGAAGCAGTGCTTGGCAGACCTGGACTGTCCTCGCCAATCTCCTCTCCCACAATGCCGTTGCAGTACATGGCATGCAGCTCGATCTTCGTAGCTGGAAAGCCTTGGTCACACAGCGGGCACAACACACGGTCAGCAGCTGTAGGACTGCACTCAGACACAGTCCTGCCAGCATCTTCATCCCCACCAGCCTAAGGAAGAAGAAGAAAAAATTAGCCAGACAGCTAACTGTGCTGTTTCTCTTTTTTTGCTATGTGCAGAGCTCCGCGCTGTCTGGTAGCTACTCACCCTCCCATAGACTCGGTTTTTCTTGGAAAGTTTTATTCTCCCTTCATCACACAGCGGTCAGAAATAACACCACTGGCTGAATAAACTGTGCAGCACTAATAACTAATTCTTCTTCCAAAG